TGTTTTACTATTTGTATTTGTGTTTTCATAAAATGAATGCCAATCTCCTGCAGATTATTTTGTAAGTTTTAATAGTTTTAATTTGTAATGCTATTTTAATTAATTATTGTTTTACTATTTGGATTTGGATTTTTGTTTAGTTTTAACTATGTGAGCTACTTAGTCACATGTGCAAGATATACAATTGAACAAATTAGTATAAAGGAGTGGACCAAAATCAACTAATCCATTCCCTTCAGTTCTGCTAACTTCAATTAACTAAGATCACACTCTGAACCAAATTATGATTTATTGTGACTATGAATTACTTAAGCCACAATGATTTAAGTTTACATATTCACATTAAATATTAGATTTAATAATAGAATGTGTAAACCTAGCCAGAACAAAGTATCTGAAGAATTTTACAAAATTCTTTGTAGAGAAGTAAAGCAATTTTTTTTTTCATCCTCTGATCCTTGTTAGACAAGCATACTAAACTTTCAAAAAGTGAGCTGACATCACCACTTAGAGGTTACAATAGCTAGCTTGGTCTAAATATGTTACAAAAAAATGCAAGTTGACTATAAACCTTTTAGCAGTGCTGGGTAAATATAGTTAATTTATACATTTAGCAGGCAACAGAAATTAGAAATGAACTGTACTCTGACAGCATAATGGAAATAAGTATATTCAACTGTTCTTTCATATTAAGTAGAAATATCTATTAAGAACTCTTCCTCAGATTTATTTTTAAATGCATTCTCAGCTTACTCCTATTACATTATCAGAAATCTTAGTGTAAGCTATAATTCTTAGGGAGTGGGAAAATATTGGTGCTATTGATTTTTCTTTTTCCACAGGACTACAAAGGTCAAAAACTAGCAGAGCAGATTTTTCAAGGAATAATTCTTTTCTCTGCTGTAAGTATAATAAAAACACACCATCACTATAAATTCATCACCTCTTTTCTGAAAATATGTTCATAAGAGATTTTTGAGAATATTTTATGTAATATATTAGAAAATAAGCAAAATCCCTTCCAGTTATTGGAGCAAATATATTTTCTGGATCTGTCCTTTTTCAAAATAGCGGTCATTGCAGTAAGAACATCCTGGCTTAAAATCTATACTTTTTTCAGCATTGTGCCCTGAACTATAGAGACTATAAGAATTGATACTTTCTTATGAATATCTAGTAACTTCCTTAGTTGTTGTATACGCTTTAAATTGTTGTATTGGCTTTGAGAAATAGACTTGAATATCCTTTGTTATATCTAATTTTTATCTTATAGGTGGTTGGCTTTATTTATGGATATATTACTGAACAGTTTGGCTGGACAGTTTACATAGTAATGGCTGGATTTGCTATATCGTGCCTGGTAAGAATATAACTTTATAGCAAATATACATAATATATTCAAAATATCAAGTTTTGCAATAACTGTAGTAAATGTATCTGTAATACTAGCACATACTCTAAATGATTATTTTTTCTTTGGTCAATAAATTATCAACATTGTATAATATGTTATTCTGTTGTCTTGATATTCCAGCTTTTTGTTGTTTTTGCAATTGGCTTTTATCCTGATCTTCATTTGAAGCACCTACGTAGCAATATGGAAATACTGCTCACCAGATTAGTTTCCTTTCCTCCTAATCTTAGTTTTCCTAACCAAAAATAAAGCATTTAATAGGAGTCTTAAGTTATCCTAATTTTTTTTTTATTATAGCTCACACTGCCTCCATGGCCCATTTACCGTCGCAATCCTCTGAAATGGCTCCCTGTTCAGGAATCTGCAATAGATGATAAGAAACCTGCAGACAGAAAAGTAAAGAGGCATCCTAAAAATTGAAAAACTACATCTTCTGTATGATTTTCTGTCATTAAATTTGCTTTAAAATTGATTTCTCCTCTTTTTTTACTTGGTTTGGGTGTTTCTGCACACAGTCGGAGAACAAATTCTTCCTTTGTATTTAACTCCATCCATCTAGGGTATGGTACACTTGGTGATTTATTAAGTAATTTAAATATTGGAATATCTGCATTTAATAGGGGAATTGTTTGGCTTACTATAGTTTACCTCAGCGATCATTTTCTAGTACATCCTAAAAGGATTAAATAAGCCATGGAAATTTCTGCAGTAATTTAAAGTCTACCACTAATCATAGAAATCTCAAGTATTTAACAATCTTAACTGTAGTCAACAACAAAATAGGCCAATCTCTTTAAACCAGTCTATTAGACATTATGCAGAATCATGACTAATTCTGAATCTACACTTAAATAATATTTTAAATACTATGTATGTATTCAAGGCATTTTCAAAAGTCATGTGAATTCCAGCAAAAATGAAAATATTCTAGCACTTTTAATGATTAGCACTTATTATGGGATAAGATTTTAATGGATTATAGTTCACTTTAAGAGATGCAATACGGATTATCCAGAGTTCCAGATTAGAGGCTCATGAACATACGTAGTAATTATCAGTTGTGATCAGTAAGAATAAATGTACATAAATCATTCCAGAAATCACAGTAGTATCTAAAAGCTACAGTAGCAACTATGTTAACCTCTCTAAACACTAACTGACCTTATTTGCAGTGATCTTTCCTGAGTGGATGAACTTCAAAAGAAATTCCAGTATGAAAGATCAAATTAAATTTGATATAGTAATCCCATTTTATCACCTATGACTAAATTAGACCAAGATTATAGAGGCATATGTGGATTACCATACCAGAATGATTGTTTTCAGTGATGTTCTGATGCTATAACCATTTTGCTTTTATATCATATGTATGACTTGTATTTAATTTCCTTCTGACAGGACTCTTCTGCATTATCTAACCTCCATCATTGATGCATACTTTTCCTGCATCTGTACTGTAATCCATAATCCGCATTCTGTGATAAATGCTGGTATTCTGGGAATTGGCAAAGCATTTGTTGCTTTTAAAATTTATTACTGCATGTCCTAAAAATAGCAATAGCAATAGCACTTACTTATATATCACTTCACAGTGCTTTACAGCCCTCTCTAAGCGGTTTACAGAGTCAGCATGTTTTCCCCAACAATCTGGGTCCTAAATATGAAGAACAATGATAATAACTCTGTTTTCCAGGTTTTGTATGAAAGTTTATTGATATAACAACTGAGTTTGTATAACAACTATATTTTGGGGACATAACACCTCTTTCCACTTCGAGAAATGTTTGATCTGGTAGTGAATTTCCATTGGCAGAATAAGCAATGGTAGAATTTTCACCCTCTTCCTTTGGTCTCCTTGAAATCTCTATATCATTAAATTTTCTGTAATATTGGGGATGTATAATATTGGGGAGGCTACAGCCTCCTAGCAGCTTTCTCCTTTTCTACTCTTCTTTTGTTGACTTAGGTTCCTTGTCTTCTTGGAGCCCTACACTGGCTATAATTCGGGCCAGGTGTTACTATGCAATATTATTTTTAGCCCTTTGTGCACAATAGTGTTTCTGCTTCCTACTATTTTCACCGTTACATCTACTGATTCAGATTCCTTGGCTATTCCCTCTACAATCAAGACATAGTCCCACGTAACCTTAAAACTGTTACCATTTGATGAAATGATGCTTCCATTTGTAGTTTTTGAACTGGCCTCAGCGATCGTTTATTTAACAATATTATTTAATTTTACTTGATTTAATCAATTATATATTGTTAATGGGTTTTAGAGGGTCTGGTGTCCCATAAGAGTTAGAGTTGCCTAGGACTAACAATAGGTTTGAGTTTCTTGATTGTATAATCAAATTCTAAAGATATTACATTATTTTTACTTGATGCTTAGCTTTTCAGTACAACATAAATAAATGTTATAAATTTGAGAGAGCTTTTGCCATTTGGTCTCATAAAACTAAAAATCAACCAAGAAAAAAATTTAGTATATTTCTATCACTTCAGAGCCTTTTGTAATAAAATCATTCTACTTGATTCCTATGAAGTTTAACATCTGAAATGATTTAATTAAACACATCCCATCACAACCCAAAGTTTATTAAAATAGTAAGCATTATGTTTGAAGCAAAATAGATGCTCAATTTATGTTGTTTTCCTATCCTTATTCAAAAAATAATGAAAATGATTTCTCAGATAAGTGTGTATTACTGTATTTGTTAGAATAGTACATAAAAAGCCCTACAAGATTTTTTACCTTTTTTTAAAAAAAAAGTCATAATCTATGAATCCAATATTATATGTGAATATTGGATAAATAGATTAGTACACCCATTGTTTAAAAAAATATTGGTTCTCAGATATGTTGATAAAGATGTAAACACATATATTCCAACTAAAGAGAATATATGTAGTTCATGGTTGAATTCTGGTGTCCTTGGTACTCTCTGAGCTTATTTGAAGAAAACAAAGAATACATCTCCAACGACCAATACCCAGACAAGCAGGGATTAACACCAGACAAACAAGCAGAAAACAATATCCTAATGAAGGAATTAACAATGACTGTTGCCCACTAACACTGGCAAAGCCAAGCTACTGTGTATAAACAGGGAGCACACTACATGCTCGACAGCACTGATGTTACCTAATTGGGTAATGAAACACCTGGAAGCAAACAATTAAGCTAAGAGAGCATTAAAGTCTTCACATAGCCTTATTCTTTTCCTGTATCTATGTATTGGTGCATCACATCTATGTTCTTTTCCTGAATAGAATTTGTTTTTTCTTTTCATTATACCACAACGTTAATTGAAAATTATTCTACTTGAGTGAAAATTCTATGCTTGAATTTTCTTCTAAAATAGTGAATTCCAACAAAATACATATTTGACTATATGTAGGATGGCCAGTTTTAAATGATGATTGACATTGAAACAAAAATAATTTAATATGTTTTAAAAAGACAGAATCATTAGAAAGTGCTGCTTGTTGCTAGTATTTTAAAAAATCCCACTTACCCAAACTTACCTTTAAGCATGTATTGCTCCTTATAAACTAAATACACAATCCACAATAGATAACAAGAAACAGTATGGGAAAAGGTTTATCTTCTAAGTGAATGAATCTTAAGAAAATTTTAAAAATCAATCCAGTTACAAACTGAATGTCTTTCTTTCAGGAAGAAAAAGTTCAACTGAGGTATTTGTCAAAGTTTCACATTGTCTTCTAAGAACTTTAAATGACGAGCCTTCATACTATAAGACGTGTACTTTTCTCCCATGAGCTTCCGCAAACATAGCTATTTAAAGGAGGGAAAAAAACATATTGTAATTCAAACATGAATAGTACATTTAAGCAGAGATTATATGCAAAACTGATCACTATTAAATCCACAGATAACTAGTGCACATATTTGAGAAATTGCACAATTAAGAATTCATAAAAAACAATTTGATGGCAACACAAAGATGGTAATAGTGTAAAACACTAAGACGTACAGCTAAGGCTGAAATGTTGGTATCTTGGTATTCACTAAGCTTACAAACATTTCACTGCCAAATTAAGTAATATCAGTGCTTTGGCACAAGGGAATTGGATTTGTGGAGTTCGTCCCTCCCCTACCTACCTTGATCTATTTAATTTGGTTTGCTGTATTGTTTCATTTTAAGATTATTCCTGCCTATCTTGCTAGAATAGTTTGTAGATTGGGTTTATTTCTGTGAGTCTATTATTTCTGATCTACCATATCAGAATTCCAGGTTTCTAGGAATTCTTTTACATTCTTGGATTTGGCATTTGTTGTGTCAAAAAAACATACCTCTCTTTTCTGTTCATCCTCTTCCTCCATTGCATCACAAACTTTTTCTAGCAGCTTTACCCCAATTCCTTGAACTACATCTGCTCTTAAAATCTCAACCAATCTCCTAATATTCTGAGGACCAGACTTGACATCTAATAAAATAATAAAATACATTATTTTTTGAATTTTATTTCTGGCAATTAGATAAAGCCAATTATAATTGCAGAGATCAAGTGTAAACATTTTCATTTTAATTCAGATCAATATTCTGGAGATTCTCAGATTTTATTCAGCACTCTATTCCAAATAATCAGAATTGGTGCTTATTCCATTTCTGCAGATAGAATAGGTTAAACGGAACCTTTAAAATCGGAGTTGCTTTTCTTCTGACTTAATAAATGTTTTTGTTGGTAACGCTAGAGCAGAAAATCTAATTTGAATATCAACGTTTCAAGCATAACATACAGACCTGAAGGAAGCTCTTGAAACTGAAATTCATCAGGTTCTTCAGCTGCTTTCCCATGTAAGATCAGTGTATCCCTATATTTCCTATTTAGCCTGAACTGTGAGTCAGGTGTTGGCATTGTAAATTGTGAATAACTTTCAATATTATCCATTTTTAGTGTTTGTGTCATCAACTGTAGCAAGTCATTCATTTCATTACTTTTTCTGCAAAACAAGAAAATATTTCAGCATACTCCAAATCATACACAATTTGAGAATTTTGATGGTGAACAATTTGAACTTAGTATAGTACACAAAATTGTGTAAGGTATGGTTTAGATCTTATTTTCCAAAAGGGTTTTGTCATTTTTCTCTTCCTGCTCCAGAATGAGGAATGGGTTGGAGATAAACCAAGAGTGAGCAAGACAAGAATAAAAGATTTCACAAAACCATACTGGTTGTCCTCAACATACAACTGGGCCTGGAATTTCAGTCATAAAACATTGTGGTCATAGGTTGAAGCTCCATGTGACAGGACTCAATTTTACAACTGTTTTTATGACAGTCATAAAGCAAGTCATTGTGGTCATTAAATGAATTACATAGCCATTAAGTAAACCATGCTGGAATCCAGCAAAAATGTTACAAATCATGGTTATGTTGCTGCAAGATGCCACAACCTATTTTAAATGAGAGTCGGTTGCCAAGCACCTGAACTGCAATCACATGATCAGGGGGACACGGCAGTCATAACTTCGAGGATAGATATAAGGCGCTTTTTTTTAAAGATTATCATAACTGAACGGTTGTTGCAACCAATGCTAAGTCGAGGATTGCCTCTAGTTTTGTGGTATGAGAGCAATAGACTATTGTTATGAAGTAGAGAGGGAGAATACACTCTCATACATGCCGATGGCACATGAACTATACAGGGAGTCCTTGACTTACAACAGTTCACTTAGTGACTGAAGTTACATCAGTGAAAAAAGTGACTTTTTCACACGACCGTTATAGCATCCTCATGGTCACATGATTTACATCTAGATGTTTGACAAATAACTCACATTTATGATGGTTGCAGTGTCCCAGAGTCATGTGATCGCCTTTTGTGACCTTCTGACAAGCAAAGTCAATGGGGAAACCAGGTTAATTTAACAACCGTGTTACTAATTTAACAACTACAGTGATTCACTTAACCACTGTGGCAAGAAAAGTCATAAAATGGGGCAAAACTCATTTAACAAATTCTCGCTTAGCAACATAAATTTTGGGCTCAATTGTGGTCGAAGTTGAGGACTACCAATACCTGTACATGTACTGGGTTTAGGGATATATGTCTGTTGGCTTGATCAAAGAGACTGTTATGCAAAAAACTACAAATTTCCAAATTTTCTTCATAAAACAATGGGAGAGGAGAAGCTTCAAGTTCTAATTAAGATAATGTGAAAAAGATGCAGAAGATTCTGACTACTGAGATTCTTAAGAAAACTATATATAAAAATAATGTGAATTTGTATAGTATGAATTTTCACAGTAATTTTACAGAAAGCTACACAGAGAACTCTTTGACACAGTTCTAGTATTTTTATAAGTGTGAATCCGTGGTGGGTTTCTACTGGTTCGCCCCGGTTCAGACGAACAAGTAGTGGCAGCAGTGGGAGGCTCTGCCCACCTACCCGGACGTCATCACGGATGCTCTGTGCGCGCTCCCAGTTCTGAACCAGTAGCAAAGGTAAGAGGAACCCACTACTGGTGTGAATAATGAATTATCATTTCCCAGTTTTAATTTTTTATGTGCTGCGTTCAACCCAGTTATTTTTAGGTTATACTTTCCTTTTAAAAGGATATCTTAAAATAGTTAATGCTGAGGAAATCTTTATACCAGAGTAACCTACTTCCTAAACTTGGCTATTGATGATTTTTTATTGGGTCTTGAACTAGGGACATAACTATATCACATGTGTATACAGATACACAAATGCATTCAGTAACTGGCTATGGCTTAATATTCACAATGGACTTATCATTCACTAATAGTTTACAAACAGCAATAGTTATATTTATATAATAAATATAGTTTTAATTGTTTGGGGATTTTAAATTGGATTATTTTAATATCATTTTATTGTCGTGTTGTTTTATCATGTGAGCCGCCCCGAGTCCTACGAGAGAAGGGCGGCATATAAATACGATAAATAAATAAATAAACAAACAAACAAACCATATATGTGATTAACATGTGTAAACTACCCATAACTACAGACAGAAAACACCCACCTTTCTTTATAATCTCCATCTGATTTTTCTATAGAGCTTGTAGAAGAGCTCAGTTCATCCTCAGTGCAACAACCAGTTAAGCTTTTCTTCTGTTGAGGACAATTTTTCAAGCACAAGAAAACAGAGAGAACCACTATAGGCATAATTCAATAGAAAATTCTCTTTCTTGCTTCTCAGTGAAAGAACAATGTGAATTAAGCTCCATTTACGTTTCTAATGAAATACTTTTGTAGAAGACAGTACTTGAAAACATAGCAGAGTACAAGCTACTTTCAATGATGATAATATTTCTATAGGCATCCTACAGAAGGACATATCAGAACCACCCTGGGGGGAACTCCTACATGAGGAAGTCCCCAAAGTCTGTGCTGTGAGCTACTTCTGCAATATTCTTCTGCAAAAGAATGCTTTGACCAATGCAGAAGAATTAAGCTACTTATATGTATAAAGGAAGACAAGGACTGCGAAGCAACCCTTAGAATAACAGCATCCCTGTAAGGTGTGTTGGGCTGAGAGAATCACCTAACTAGTCTTTCATCAGCTATTTCTCTTCTTTTAATATTGGCTGTGGTAGTCATATTATACATTAACAGAAGTTTTAGGAGAAGCTCAAAGTTGGTTGTGCTACAGGGAACTATAAAAGGCTCATATTGCATTTTATTGCTGCTTCTATCCAAACACCCTGAATTACTTAGCCAATTCACCTACCTTCCCCATCCCGAGACTGGCATCGAGGCTGGTGAGTTGTACTTGGTACAAGGGTCACAGCTCCATTTCATTGGAAAGAGCTTCGAAGACAGCGGTCCCCAACCTTTTTGTCATCGGTTTTGTGGAAAACAATTTTTTCATGGACTTGGGAGGGGAGGCGGAGCAGGCAACCTAGATCCCTCACATGTACAGTTTACAGTAGTATTTGCGTTTGCATGAGAATCTAATGCCTAATGATCTGAGGTGGAACTGTGGTGGGGGTGCTAGCACAGGGGAGTGGCTGCATATAGATGAAACCTCTCTCACTTGCCTACAATTCTAAGCCCTGTCTCCAAACTTAGTGGCAGGGAGATATGCCTTGCCTCTGCTGTAAAAATGACAGATTTCCCAAAATAATAATTTCTCTTCAGAAGTATAATAATGTAAGCAGTAGAAATCTTAGAGGTAATAATCTAAGTAGTAGAAATTTCATGTATTGATGGCAGACACATCCCTTTTTTAATATTCTACAATATTGTAAATTGTTACTATACTTAACATATGACAACTACTTACCTTATCAGTGCTGGGTTCTGAAGTAAACTGAGCAATCTGAACAGAACTGTCTTCCTTTGGAAGTTTTGTTTCTGTTGATGCATTATAAGACATTCGTCTTGCAGAAGGCCCTGAAAAGGACCAATGAAAAGTATGTAAAGTTTATTCTTATTTTACTTCATACATGCACTATTATGACAGCAGGAACAAATACCTGACAAACTAAAATAGATCTTTCTTCAGTTCAGTTTAACATTCAGTCATATACGAGATTTTTGTCCTGCCTTTCTTCTAGGAATTCAAAGCAGTATACAATCCTTTTTTTCTCTACAGCAACTCTGAGGTAGGTTGGAGTGAAAAATTTGACTATCTCAGTGTCACTTGTTGAGTTTCCATGGCTGGAAGAGGATTTGAATTTGGGTTCCCTCCATGATATTTTAATCATTACATCTTAATCCCTCAATCCCTTCCACCCTATTGTTGATACTTTTCCAACTATAATGAAGGGGAAGTTTAGTTTCCAATTCCTGTAGTAATTGATGTGATCATTGTGGCCACCCACAAAGTATGCATTTCCCAGAAAGCAAATTGATAAAAATGAAAAGGAAGGGAATTTGTCAAAAACCTCAGTACCAAAGACAACAGATCCAAAACATCAACTCATTGTTCAAAGAGATGCCTATTTCTAGCCAGCAGATTATGAAGGCTAGTACAGTAGGTAAAGTAGCCTGGAAACTAAAAGTAGAATCAAGGCCTTGTGTCCCTCTCACTATTCACTTTACAAAGGGCAAATTGATGAAGCCCACAAAGAGAGAAAATACAGCACCAACATGAAACAAATGAATTTACATTTGTTATAGAAACCTTTACATTCAAAAAAAACACAGCAGAAATAAGAGATTATCCCATCATTTCCCACATTCTCCATGCAATAAAATATTCTCTGCCACATTTTTATACTTGATGATGCTCCTTCCTCCTTCTCTGGGTACTTTTTTCTCTGGGCAGCTCTGAATCTTTTTAAAAACATTGAGTGTCACTATCCAATGTTTTTATTTTCCAAGACTTCAGCATGTCAGATCCTCATTTAAGTTTTCAATTAAATTAAGCAGCCTTAAGAAATAACTTCAGGAGACAGAAAGAGACCAAGAGGTGCCAAGAAATGTACTTGTGGACATGATTTTTGCTGTTACAGTAAGGCCCCTTTGAGAGATTACTGAAAATTTGTCATAGATAAGGTGTATGTATCTATGTGAATATAAGGAAGTAAAATGTAAAGAGGAGGCAAAGAAAACTTAGCACCAGATAAACAATCAAGCAATAAACAAAAGCCTAACCAAGGAAAAAAACAAAAATCTCAACACTGACAGGGCAAGCTATTATATAAAAACAGAGAGCAAACCCCATTCTCTTCTAGCACCAAAAATGTTATCAAGCCACCAACCAAGCTCAGAGAGCCCTAAGGACTTCACAGCAAAGAAAAGCATTACCAGAAGAAAGCATGTCTTCTTGGGATTGCTTTAATCTTCTCCTTTCTCGAGCTGATAACGGGCGATCCTTTGAAAGGACAAAAAGTAAAAAAATAGTAAACTCTGTATCTTTTTATTGATCATATATACTGATATCGATATATGCTGATACATCCTTATTGAAAGAAATTAACATTTTACAACTAAGTGATAGGTCATTAGACATTCCTTTTCATTTCTTCTACAAAACTGATGAAGCCACTCTGGGAAAGAACTACACTGCTCTATTACTTTGTAATCCCATTTTAAATAGTTCTACACAGTTCTGGTAATGTTACACCAGACTGGCATATAAAAAGAGAATATCCAAATTGAGTAATTTCTTTTTAATAAATGACATGCTGTACATAAAGATATTTGGCACAAACCTTGGAATGTTCTACTTCAAAGCTTTTTGATTTTTTCAAAACATTTGCAGCATGCTGATGGTCTGTGATAACTTCTTTTGTCTTTACATTCACATCAGGAAAAGTGGGCAGTTGCCGAGGACCAAGTGCTGCAATCTTAACAGGAGAAACAGCACCTTTATAAAAGGTTTCTTCCAAAATCAGGTACAGTATGAGATTTGCATTCATTCAAGAATGCGTGGAAGGATTCTACAAGTACAGGGCTGGTGACTGTGCTGATAGTGCTGAATGACAGCCTTCAGCAACCTATTCAATGCGACCAATACAGAATGTTTCCATTAATATTTCAGTAACATCTGGAGGTTATCACAGGTTATCCAGCCATGAAGTTCATTCCCAACTTATTAATATTCAAATAGCACTTCCATTTCACTTTCCACACAGATAAAGTAGAGTATCATAACAACCCAGACAATACATTATACATTTATCGTTCCAGTAAAGGCAAATGTTCTGCCACTTAGTTCTTTACAACATATGCTACAAACTAACATCAGCTTTTATACTGAAATGTGCTAACCTATAAAAGAAAGCTTTTTAAACTGAACTTTAAATTGCATATACTTGGTTAACATAAATATCTATAAAAACTAATCGTAGGGGGTTTTAAATTTTTTTTAAAAAGATTTAAACAATCATTCTAGTATCTTGGATGCCTCAGAAGCTGAAAATGCTGCTGATCAAAATGATTTTGTTGTAACTGTAAATATTGCCACTGAGTTACAAACTGGTCCAAAGTCAATATCCCTGGTTTCACCCAATTTTTTTTTATATCACTATCTTTTTTCCACTTTTTAATGTTGGATTTCCTCATATTTAGCCTGGGAAAAAGTATCGAATTTGTTTTTATTGAACATTCCATTCCATAGCTCTCTAACCAATAGAAATTGTTTCCAGAGATATTAGCATTCTACTGAATTTAGTTCCTAATTCTGTCCTAATTTTTACCTTGTCTAAGCAGATCTCAGATTGCTTCTGCTTCTTATGCCGTCGCTGTCGTAACAAGGAAGGCTCTTGAACCGATCTTTGAGGCCAAAAACAAGGAGTGCTTATAGGCAGAATGGGATCTTTAGCTTCTCCTGAGTTTCCACAGGAGGCTTCATTCTACGAATATATATATATATATACACACTCACTTTACAATACTTGAATCCATGCTGTCCAGAATCAAGTATGTACACTTAGTTCAAAAGTGTTAATAGAAAGCCAAGATTATTTTAATTTTAATTAAATTCACTTAAGTATTTGAAGAAAATCCTGTCATCGTACTTTAAAATAAATCATTGGCATAATTATATTTGTGTTGCAGACCACAAAATTCAAATACTTACCAAAATTTCTCTAGGATCAATCGGTATTAGCAGTTTCTCAGTACAGTCCAGACCCTGGAAAGAAAGTTTGCTGTATTTTCATGAATACCCACTATTATAAAATTAAGTAAAATGTCATATAAGCATTAGGAAGCTGAAAAAGCAACATCTCCATTATTGAAGGGAGTAAAAGAACTATTAGCTAGGCACTAAACACAACAGCTGAACGCCGAAACTAATACTGTATCATTTACCTAAGGCAAACTAGTAAGTAAAAAAATGACAAACTACCCTAGAAGATGACAATGAAAAACTTTTTTGTAATATTGCAAGGAAAATTACTGTATCTGGATATACTGTATGTGGATATCGTATATGGTATGTTCTAGTCTAACTTACTTCTGATTAATTCCAGCAAATCTTCCAAGATCTGGAAGGGTAGTTTTAGGAAAAATAGGAGAAGAAAGAGTATTATGTACTGTATATTTGTTGCCTTTCATTATTTATAAAAATTATCAAGGTGGGACAAACATCTAAAAATTTAAATTAGATTTATTTGCTTAAATTCAGTTTGCCTATTTTAGGAAAATTGTGCAAAGGTCCTCAATAGTTTTAAGGCCCAAAATTTTATCACAAAAGGTTCAGAGATATTTAGATCTGAATTGCATTGAAATAAGTGCATATATATATTCATTTAATGGCCCTTTAAAGATAAATAAATAGTATGGTGCAATTGTTCTACCTAGAAAAAAAAGCTATCACTTTCTCAAAAATGATTATCTGATAGAAATTAAAAAGAAATTAAATGCAGACAGTAGATTTGGGACGGGAATTCAAGACAAAATAGCTGACTTTTCAGCAAAAAGTCTGAGGCTGAGTAGGAAAAGAGTCTAATTGGAAGAGATGCTGAAGGAGAGGTATATGTACAATTTGCAAACTAATAATAATTAGCTACCTTAATAATTCTCAAATCCTTAGATAGAGTTGAATTATTAAATTTCTACTGGTCTTAGACTGAGAATCTAACTGTAAATTACCTATACATAAACCATAACAATAAAGCAACATTTGCCTATCCCAGGTCCTTGAGAAGGACTTGATTGGTGGATAAAAATGCCAAATCCAGTTTAAACATCTGGCCGATTGTGTGACAAAACATAGTGTATTTATGCTATCCCCAAACAGACCCTGTGCATAATCTGGGGGTTCTCCTGGACTCACAACACCTGCTCAAAGAGAAGTGGTGGTTGTGGCCAGGAAGGCCCTTGTGCAACTGTGGGTTGTGTGCCAGTTACACCCTTTCCTGGACCAACAATCCCTACTCACAGTCACTCATGCCTTAGTCACTTCCTGTCTTGACTATTGCAACGCACTATACATGGGGCTGCCCTTGAAATGCATCCAGAAGCTCCAGTTGGTGCAAAATGCAGGGGCCCGCATGGTTTTGTGCAGACCCCGGTGTGCATAGGTATCACCTCTCCTGTGGGAGCTGCATTGGCTGCTGATTTGCTTCCAGGTGCAATTCAAGGTGCTGGTTGTCACCTTTAAAGCCCTTCATGGTTTGGGACCAGGTTATGTGAGGGGCCGTCACTTGCCAGTCACCTCTACCTGACCCATCAGAGCGTGGAGGAAGGGACTATTGCGGGTCCCATCTCTGAGGGAGATACACCTGGTGGGACCCAGAACAAGGGTCTTCTCTGTGGTGGCTCCCTCTCTCTGGAACACTATTCCCCCAGAGATTAGAACGGCCCCCACCCTAATACTCTTCCGGAAGGTGCTGAAGACCTGGTTCTGCCAGAGGGCCTAGGGAACCCACAGCTTGAAGAAGCCCATTAAATGGCTCGTGTGATCTGCTGTCACCGGGGTGATTTTATTATATTATACTATACTAATTTATTTGATCCTTTTTATTAGTTTTATTGTTTTAAATGTGGTTTTATATTCTGTAAACCGCCTTGAGTCGCCATGAGTGAATAGATGGCAATATAAATTCAATAAATAAATATTTATATAGCAATAAATTTCTAAAAAAATATAAATCCCTATCAATGGACACAATTAATAAATATTAAGCAATATTACTACATTAACAATGACTCATAAAAAATCCAAGACTAGCAAAGCACCAATATGTCTAATGTTCTGTCTCCCTCAAACACCTTTGTGCTGTAGAAGAAATCTGCACTGCTTTACCTGAAGAAGAAAAGGAGCTGTTCCAACAGAGCAAAACCAACTAATAGTACAGGATAAACTTATGTCCAGAATCAAGTCATGACACATGCTTAGCACTAGGAGTTACTGAAACAGCAGAAACCAGCATTTCAGAATTCAATCACATTTTCAATAGATTTGCAGGTAGTCCTTGACTTACAATCACAATTGAACTCAAAATTTTTGTTGCTAAACAAAACAGTTGTTAAGTGAATGACTGCAGTTGTTAAGTTAGTAATACAATTGTTAAGTGAATCTGGCTTCCCGACTGACTTTGTCAGAAGATCGCAAAAGATGATCACATGACCCCGGGATACTGCAACCATCATAAATATATGCTAGTTACAAAGCATCCAAATTCTGATCACATGAGCATGGAATGCTTCAACATTCATAAGTGTGAAAAACGAATATAAGTCACTATTTTCAGTGCCATTGTAACTTTGAACATAAAGAAATGATCATAAGTCAAGGACTGCCTGTATATCTTCTAATTCATTCATATTCACATACACATATACATATACGAAACTGAAAATAATTACTTTATTGCTTACACATGGAATCTTTGAAGTGGATTGCAGAACTTTCGTAGTGTCATCACCATTATCTGTCTCCTTAGCATCTACATCTCCAGTTTTTGGGCAAGTCTTTGACATTTTCAGTAAATTTTCTTCCTTTAATTCTGGGCTATTTTTTGCTTTTTCAGGCTCTTCTTCATTGGGAATATGTACATTTTCGGATTCTTTATGTTCTGCTAATTGTTTGGTTGCAGAGTTTCTCTTTTCCAGTGGAACAATAAGTATATCAACTTTGCTCATTGTTGCCAAAGAGACATCTAAGCTATTCAAACCATTTTTGCTGTTTTTTTCAGGTGCAGGTGCTAGTTTCTTTGAAGAAGAAACTTCAAATGTTTTATTATTGATTAAACATTTATCTTCATTCTGTAATATTAAGAAGTACAATTAAGTCACCAATTCTATTAAGATTATTTTAAGCGTAAACATAAAATTACAGTAATCTATTTTGATCTGACTTGATCCAGCTATGATATTTTGCATGGGATGGACTGAAGACTGAGGAAAGACATGGCATGTTTTACTAGAATAGTATAATGCCAGAGTGGCTTAACCAACAACAAAAGACCTCTTAGTCATATGGGAGGTGCACAAATGATGGAAAAGGTCAGTCATACAGAAACCAGGCTGTTAGTCTGTTTGATATTTCTTGCAATAGCCTTAGTTGGTGCAGAAGTGGGTTTCCCTGTCCTTATTTACAGAACCAAGACATATGAAGATCCAATATCTTCAATCTATGTTGGTTCAAGTCCTTCAATCAGGTACCTGATCGAATATGCAAAAGATGGGATGTGGTATTTCAACTTATTAATATTATATTATAAGATTATTACAGTATTACTGTAACAATATGTTGTGATGGGGCAGGTATGGGAACTTAAGGCAAGAAGGATATATTGGAATTACTTATTAATTCCAACTCTCTCCCTGTGTTACCAAGGGATCACTAAGGGATCTGACTCTGATTGCCATGAAGCAGCACCAGAAGATATGTCTAACTTTTTCTTTCATGTTACTTCCCCATTCCCATCTTCCACAACATAGCTATAATGATTATATGACCACTATTAGAAGTATTGCACCACCTGTTATTGTTTATTTTTTGAAAATCAACTGTTTATAGAATTTAATATTTACATCAAGGAGTTTTCCATACTCCCATAAAGGAAATTGTCAGATACTATTCTGTCAGCAAATAAGATATTATAACATGCACTATGTAAAAAAAAAAAAAAAGTTATATCTTCTACTCATTTAGGGCTTCTCTAAGGGTTAGTTTTACTATTCTAGAGTAGACCCGTGCCTTATAGGGGTAAACAACTTTGTGAAGAACAAGAGGCTAACTTCACTTTTGAGTGGCATGTCAGGGTCTGAACTCTGAACAGTGACTAGCACAGGAAAAAGAACAAGGTGGGAACTGAGCAAAATTTACATGTATTTTAAACGGAAGCAGTTAATTCTCCTTCGGGAGAAGGGCGGTATAGAAATAAAATTATTTATTATTTATTAGTCTCCATGGTTTTCAGAATTTTCTTCGGTGACATGTAAATTACAATTCAGTAGCAATTTCTGTAGTTTGGTAATGCCCAACACCTTAGGGCAACTGACACTGCATCTCCAATTGAAGAGAATTTAAATGGGTATCATTATTGGAGGGGGGGACAGATGGAAGTACTAAGAATTAATTGGTATTCTTTCTCCTTAATTTGAAACAAAATTTTCATTTCATTAAATTTGACCATGGGCTTTTTTTTCTGTCCCACCCATTCTGGCTACCAAGCTAAAATAATAACTTGCCCCATTGGACTTCTTTGAAAATTCATTTGGAAGCTTCTGAGGTTCTGTACTTTCTTTCTTTAATTCAGTTTTCTCTGACGATTCCCGAGGTTTGGGTTCAGATACTTTCTTATGATTTTTAGATGTTTTTCTTTAAGGAAAAAAGCAAGAAGATATGTTATCAGATTTACAAATTAAAATTTACAGATTTTAAAATACCTTTTGCCAAAACATAGGTTTGTATAGGTTTACTTTTTCTGAAGACCTGCATGTGCAGCAATATGGATATTATTTTAGATACAAAACTGCTTCTCAAGTCATAAACATTTGTGAAATATGGTTTAATTAGCCATCTAATTAACCAATTTCATTGTATACATGATGTACAATGACAATAAAGGCTATTACCTTCAAGAATGTGTTGGTTAGATCAACAGGGCATCTAAATCCAACATCTCAAGAATGGCCAAACATAAAAGTATTACTTCCTATGAAACCCTATCATTGTTCTCATTTTCCCTGTAGCCCTTGGATTTATTTCCTGTACTGCTGTAGAGGTTTACCCTATTCTGCACCAAGCTCGAGGGGCAGTCAGTGAAAATTAACCTTTATATTTCTTTTCACAGATAAACCTTCTTTCAATATTTAGTTGCTTGAAAACTTTTCATAAAATTCTGAGATATGAAAATATTCTTCAAATTTGAGAATAAATTTAGTTAGATCTTTGCATAAATAATTGAGGCACAACACAACATAAAATAAAAAGCACAAAGTATTTAAAATAATTACGAGCCAACATGATATAGAATCAAACTGATGCTGAAGACATTATACAGCCCTGAAACAAACCCACTTACACTTTTTCTTAAGCCTTACACTATCACTCACTACAACACTGCCTTTTGTTAGAGCTAGCTCTAGTATTAAGTCGACCTTTGAATTAAACTGAGTTCTAAGAAAATAACTATCAACTTGTAGACCAGACTAATTCCATATAAATAAATAAACGCTGAGAGATTGAAGAGTTCCAAATAAGATAGGAGATGGCTTCTTCCCCAGTTACTATGGTTAACCTATGCCATTCAATTGCTATCAGCTGATATTTCAAATTGATTAGGATACACAACTGATGCTTTGGTCACAAGCAAGACAGCAGCAAGGAAGGGGGCTTTTGGTTTCTCTGTATTTCTAATTCTTCAGAAGGGTCCCAGCATCAGGACCTATAATATTGAACTGCTGCATACGGATGTGATCCAGTCTTCTGACAAGTCACTCCTATGCTCACTTTGGACTTGCATAAGCTTTTGCTATTCTCACACTCACCTGGAATAGCTATCTGAATCGCCAAAAGTTCCATATGAGCATGAATCAGGTTTGGTGGCTACCAGCTAATATATAAGGAGCTTTGGTTTGGGCTGTAACACGAAATTAAGGTTTACTAAGTGTTTCTTTATTCTGTCTAATGTGTATAATAAAAATGGGCTGGGTTTCCAAGTCAACCTTGTCTCAAGAATCCATTATCAAAGCCAGTATATGAACCCCAGGATGGTGCAACACCAATGATAACACTAAATACTTTGCTTCAAATTATTTTTCATTTAAACATTTCTTACGTCTTTGTAGCTTCCAAAAACAGAGAGATTTGCTGCTTGATATATGGTTGCCTCAATATGCTCCTGACACTGGGTCTCTCCTCTGGCTTTTTACTAAGCATTGTTCTTATCAGTTCTTTCAACTGAATGCTATAATCTTTTGGCATTGGTGGCAGCTGTTAAAAGAAGAACGCAGATGAAAAAAAGAACACTTTTCATGAGCTTAAGGCATTTCTTCATAACATTTTCCCCTTTTACTTTGCATGTTAACCAAAGTTCTGGCAACACCTTTCTGAAAGAGGCTGAAAAATAGGGCTAGAACATCTAACAGGTTGTAGCAACTAATATCATCAAGAAATATAATTGTCTAGAACCTTTTAAACATTTCATAAGAAACCCAGCTGGTAATAGATAACTGATTGCTGTTCTGCTAATGCCTTGGAAGAAATATTCCCAATGTGAAATTGGCTTGTTCTCAAGGTACACTCAATTTTCAAACAATTCAAACAGTGTTCAATGTTTTATTTATTGATTGATTGATTGATTGATTTACATGCCACCCTTCTCCGGAGACTCAGGGCGGCTTACAGTGCGTTAAGCAATAGCCTTCATACTTTTGTATATTTTTACAAAGTCAGTTTATTGCCCCCACAAACCGGGTCCTCAATTTACCTACCTTAAAAAGGATGGAAGGCTGAGTCGACCTTGAGCCTGGTGAGAATTGAACTCGCAGTAATTGCAGGCAGCTGGATGTTAAATGCTGCCTTAGTAGGAGGCATTGGCCTCCTACGCCACTCAGGCTCCTGTTTGCTGCTCCTGTCACATGTACATAGACTACTGTTATTTTTCTCCTGCTAAATGGCTGCTCCTACTTTGCTTCTTTCCCTCTCTTCTAGAGTACATCACAAATGTAAGGGAATAGTCTCATTTCAAATGACATGTTAACAACTGAAGCAGGAAGAGCACTTCCATTTAAATGACATTCTTTAGATCACAATGCTGCCCATCTTCACTTGCTTATGAGATGCCCATATGAATTGGATGGATGGATGGACAGAAGTCAGCAGTAGCCAGTCTCACAAAACAAACCAAGATGGTTGCTCCTACCAATTTTTCAATAGTTTCCTAACAATTCTTCAACTGTTGCACATATTATCCAATCTGAGTGTGGCAGGCAGAAATGTCTCAAGCTATTTCCGACTTGTACATCTAATTAAACTGTATATCATTTCTGCATAGGGCCATTAAGTGTTCAAGGTATAAATGTAAAAGAGGTAGAGTATAAAGTCTGTGCTCCCTCTCTCGCTGCCCTTGAAAAACATTTGAAAGCTTCAGCTGACGCAGAATTTGGTTGTAGCGTGGAGAATTAATGGTGTTAGTTTTCTCGATGCATAAGATATTTCTGCTTTACAAGCTTCATTGGCTTCCAATTGCTTCAGATTGCAATTAAAAAACCTGGAAGTTACTTTTAAGGCCTTTCATGGCTTCGGACTATTATTTTCAGAACTGTCTCTCTGAATTATTTCTACTCATCCCACCCAGTTTGGCAGGAACAGATTCTGTGTTCAATCAGCTAAGGAGTGTCAACTGCCGAGGAGAGCCTTTTCTTCCATGATGCCTACTCTGTGCAACATCGTCCCTACTAAAATTAGATTGGCTCCAGCCCTGTTGATTTTTCATAAGCCCTGAAAACAATTTTGTGCCCAGGCCTGAGGCTCCAGATGTGTCATGGAGTCGTTCTCTTGGTTGTGGCTGATGGTTTTTGGGTATTTTTTTAATGATGCTTGGCTAAGAATTTTTATTTTTATACTGTGCTTCTATGTATTGTATTTATTTTATTGTAAACTACCTGGAATGTGTAAGGTAGGCGTCCATATAAATCAAATGAATAAATGAATAAAAATAACTCATGATGGCATTTAAATGCTGCTTTCTTTTGTTAGAATAACACTAATGTTTTCTGATAATGCTGAATGACTGGTACTTACAACTGGTCCTCGATGTTCCAGCCTTCCCAGCACACACCTGGTCATGTAATTGTGATCTAGGCATCTGACAATCAGCTGGCACTTATGACAGTTACAGCATCTTGCAGTCATGTGATCACAATTTGCAACCTTCCCTGCCAGCTTCCCACAAGGAAAGTCAATGGGGAAGCCAACAGAGAAATTCAGAAGTATCTCCCTTCCTGCAACAATTCTTAGCCCCACTATGCTCACATTGCATCTTGCTAACCCCTTGTACACCTCATTGACTTTGCTGGTTAGAAGTCAGCAAGAAGTGAGGAGGACTTTGATTCATCACTTAATGACAGCAATGGAGAGTGCTAGGCAATGCAATCACATGCTGTTGAGCTGAATGACCACATGGCTTAGTGATGGAAATTCCAGTCCCAATTACCATAATTAACTAAGGACAACCTGTATAATTGCTAGGGAATCTGAGAGAAAATGTGGGGAAATGAATTTTCCTGAGATAAATTCATTATTTCAGGAATAATGAGATATTAGGAAATTTAACAGATGTGACTATCAGATTAGTTATATGTTCGAAACCTAAGCAAAATGTAATATTAGTTATTTGAAACAAATTGTTTTTGAAATAAATTGCTATGTATGGTGCTGCATTCATCATCCATGACAAATGCGTTTTATGCCAACACAAAGAAAACAATATTTATCAAACTTACTCAACATTGGCTACCAATTGGTTATTTGGAGACATCCTTGAAATCCTTCATTGAAAAGGATTTCCCGTATTTAACAGGACATACTGCAATATGACTTGCAAGTTTCTTTATTCTCTATGTAGTTTTCTCAAGCACAGAATAATAAGTTGGAAATTCTCTATCTGAAGGAAGCCTAGTAAATATTAGATTAAAAAAATACCTTTCCTTCAATAATTCGATAAACCAAGGAATTCATGTCTTTAGCATTAAAAGCATGCTTCAAGGTGGCCATTTCATATGCACAGCAACCCAAGGCCCAAACATCAGACTGTAAAAGCAAACAAAGCACAATAATATATTTTTGAAAAGCCATTCAAATAAAATCAAATGAGGTACATGTTGCCTGCACAGGTGCTCCATAAATCGAATATCTTAATCTCTCCTCTTTTGTGGTGAATTGGAGATGACAATGAAGCTTTTGAAAATTCTGATGTGGTTCCAATTCCAATATATCAAATTGTCTATTTTTGTTCCATCTAGATCAGGAGTCCCTAGCCAAGGGCCACAGGCCACTACCAGGCCATGGTTTATTTGCAACCGGGCCGCATGAGTGGTGGGCCGGTGGGCATGTGCGCACAACTCTACTCACATGAGCAGCAGGCCAGCATGCATGCATACACAGTTAAGCTGCGTGTGCATGTGCATGCACGTCAGCCTGCCACTTGAGCGGCCTGGTTCCCCTTTCCCCCCTTCAGCTGGACTGCCAAACAGCAAAGATTGGGGACCGCTGCTTTAGATAACTACTTATAAATGGAATATTTTTTAATATAATTCACTAGAATTATTCACTAGAATTATGAAAATAATGTAAACTTTTTTCAGAGAATCATGATAAGATACGTTTGAAATAAATTATAGGGAGTAGAATAGGAAAAGTATCAGGAAGATTCATTAGAAATTAACAAATAGGACATGTTTCAAATTGTTGCTTTCCAGACCTTCCACTAGTCCTTCTTCCAGAATAACTCATCCCATTTACACTATCCAGCAATTTTTTCTTTTCTCTTCAAAAGACAATCAACATTCTAGGTTCACTGTGCATATTAAATTTCCTTAGCAGTTTCTGTCTTTGGGAATGTCTCTGCTTTTTCTTTGTAAAGTTTTTCTTGTCCTGCTTTAAGTTTGTAGTTTCGCTATAAACAGGTTTACTACCGGTAGCTACAAAAATTCAGACAACCATAAGGATAGCAAAGAAATACAAATCATTGGCTCTCTGCTGCAATATATTGGTTGTCTGATTGCTGGCAGCCCAGATAGAGTGTGTTTAACTGGCAATGCCTTATCTCAAGAATAATGTAGACTGGTTACTTGAAGATAGATACCTAAGAGATTAAGTTCATTTATATGATATACTTTACCTTGTAATTGTAAGGCTTGTTAGAGAACAACTCAGGGCTCATATAGTAAGGAGTGCCAATTAGAGTACTAGCCATATCATGCTGATTATCCAGCACTCTGGCGATTCCTAGATCTCCCACTTTGATAATATTAGAACGCGTCAGGAAAACATTTTGAGTTTTGAGATCTCTATGCAGAATGTGCTTCTCATGCAAATACTGAAAAATAAAATATTGGAACTCATAAATTACATATCAAGTTTATTTTCCTGAACTACTGCATGACAAAGAAAACAATTATTTAATAAACTATGAGCTCCTTGCAGAGGGATGGGAATACATTAAATAAATCTGTCAAGCTGGGTTAGCCATTATTACCAATCAGTTTTGTTGACTCTGTAGATATTAATAAGATGATCAAAAGTACATCAGGAATATATTCATTATTTTCTATGCTCATTACAAATATCCATGGAAACTAGCAACAGGCTTCCTAGAACACATTAGAAAATGATAAAATGACTAAAATCAATTCATGCTAAAATTCAGTGATATCAGAACTGATTGGAGGTTAGGTACCTGCAGTGCCATAGCAATCTGAACAAGCCACTCCACCACTTGAGACTCAGGAAGAAGTTGTCCTTTCTGTTCTTTCAGTTTATGATATAAATCCCCTCCTTCACAGAAGCCCATGACAATGTAAAGCAGGCCATCATCTCCTTCCCAGGACTCTCTATAGGTGACTATGTTTGGGTGCTTCAGCTGTGACAATAGCTGGGCTTCCTGCTCTGCTGCTTTTCTCTCACGGCTTGAGGCATGTTTAAGATTCAGCCTTTTGATAACATACTGCAGAAACAAAAAGAAGGCTTAATCTTTTTTTTAAAAAAGAATATTACTATAAATAAAAAAAATCTAAAGATCAACCACATGGGGCTGTTTTGTACAAACTCAGCTAACACTATTAAAATTACCACATGAGAAAGGAGATGAATTTTTAAAAATAAAAACCTGCCCACCTGCAAAAACAATATGTATGAAGGAGGAAGAGAAGGATGCAAGAAACAAATAAATTTGGAACTTTATATAAAAAGTAATTGCTAAGTAGCCTAATAGTATAAGTGATATGTCAACCTCTGTCAGAACTCTAGGTGTAGCATTATTCACCTGGCAAAATTTTACATTTTTCAAGAAAAGCAAATAATTTTTGCAAGGAGAAAATACAACACCTTAAAATAAATGTGACTCTAGGACCATTAATACATGGTTAAATCTCCATTCAAGGAAAGGGCTCTGTTAAAACTGTATGTTAGCCAAAGGTATTTCTCACAGACATATTCTCTCTAGGGACCAATAATAGTTCCAAGAACATCTCTAGTCTGCCAGTCTGATTCTTCAAAAGTACAAACTATATCTCAAATCCCAGAAGGACATGTCTGCTGACATACAGAACATTCATTTAATTCAGACTGCACTTAATTTAATAATTTAAATGAGATTTGTTTAAAAAATTTCTGTACTAAATTTGGTATCCTTGTTTTAGAATTAGTGTAAAAAAAGACAGACAATCCTCAAATGCAGTTTTGAAATGTAGTTCAATATTTTTTCCTGGATGCCTTAGCATATGGCTTGCTTTTCAAACTTCATGCTGGAAATGTAAAATTGATAAGGGCACACTGACTGCATATAATAAAAAGTTATTTCACTGTTGCCCTTTTTTTTGCTTTAATATATTTGTTATTTGCTTTACAAGACCAGAAATCAATAAGGTTTTAAATATGTAAATGAATTGTTTATCATTTATCAAAATCTTGGAATCTCTATATCAAGAATTATGGACTGGTTTTCTTCTCCTTAAACACATATCAATTTTATATATTAGACACAAAATGAAAAAATATATCCTGATTAGATTTCCAGATTATTTAAAGCTTTAATAAAATCTAATTTAGGTGTCATTTAAAGATATCTTTACTAATGTCCTGAATAAAAACTGGTCTTGCAAGAAAAATAACGTTTTGGAATGAACCGTAAAATTATGGAATTTGGAAAGAGTCACCCTTCTTAGGATAAATCCATTGAAGACTGAATGATGCGGATAGAATGAGAAAGAATTGTAGCTCGAAAGCAGACTCAACCAACAAACGAGCGGGGGCATCCTTGATAATAAATTTCAAAACGAGAGGAATAAAATGGAATAACAGAGTTGGAACAGACCTTGTAGGTCATCTAGTCCAACCCTGTGATGAAGCAGGAAACCCTACACCACTTCAGACAAATGGTTATCCAACATCATCTTAAAAATTTCCAGTGTTGGGGCATTGACAACTTCTGCAGGCAAGTTGTTCCACTTATTAATTGTTCTAACTGTCAGGAAATTTCTCCTTAATGTTCTAGGTTACTTCTCTCCTTGATTAGTTTCCACCCATTGCTTCTTGTCCTACCCTCAGGTGCTTTGCAGAATAGCTTGACTCCTTCTTCTTTGTGGCAGCACCTGAGATATTGGAACACTGCTATGTCTCCCCTAGTCCTTCTTTTCATTAAACTAAACATACCCAGTTCCAGCAACCGTTCTTCATATGTTTTAGCCTCCAGTCCCCTAATCATCTCTGTTGCTCTTCTCTGCACTCTTTCTACAGCCCTATATATATTTTTACATGGTGGTGACCCAAACTGGATGCAGCATTCTAGGTGTGGAAAGGATGATGGATCCTATTTTCACACGGAGCAACGCCTGTTGCTGAAGGGAAACCGCCACTTTGTGGCGCGGAGTTGTTTTTAAAATTCCCTTTTGGTCGGAGAGCAAAAGCAACCAGCGACTCGCACGGGCCACCGTCCTCGCGAAGGCCTCCGGAGACAAGGAGGGAAGGAGGGACCGAGAGCGAAAAGGAGTCCCCGGGAAGCGTCGCGTTGTGCCCCCGCTCCCCGCAACACGCGTCCCGGACCCTCCGGCGGAGTCCCTCTCCCAACAACCCCCTTCTCTTCTTACCTGTTTGCCGTCATGCCGGTGCCGCACCAGGCTCACTTCCCCGTAGCTGCCCTTCCCCACAACCCGCACGAAAGTGTACTCGCCCAGGGGCATCTTCACACGACCCCACACTCAGGTAGCCCGTTGAGAGCCGGGAGCGGGGGGGCTCCGGCAGCCCCCATCCACCCCCTGCGAGGACGCAGCTCCCGATGCCATAGAGATCGCCAAACCTCGGGGTGCCATAGAGAGCACTACTTCCAGAACGTTCAAAAGAAAAAAAAAGTCCTTCTATTTTCTATGGTAATATTACTGTTGCTTGAGCGACCATCTTGGACACGGGCAAATTTTCTTCGGCGCATGCGTTCAACCCTGTTATCTACATTATTTTAATTGCTTGTCAGCCATTTTAGTTCTGGGCATTCTGGCTAGAGTTTTGAAATTGCTGGCACTTAACCTGCCTGAGTGGTGGCCGATCGTGTTCCTTGCCTTTCTAGATTCGTTAGCGATGTTGTATGTCTAGACAGCTTAGTGGAAAGACCAGGCGTGGCCGTATATTGTTCATAATTTGCTATTGGCAAATTGACGTGAATCCTATTTCATGGAAAGCAGAACTGACTGCATTTTGTTGCTGACATGCAGCTCCCATAATCAGAATGGTCAATGATGCAATACCACACTAACTGGTGACCTAAAGAGCCACTGCTGCTGCACAGTAAACAGTAAACCTGAGCAGGTTTTATTTTAAAGCAGATTTGTCCTGTAGGCTTAAATAGTTTTCTTCTCATTCCAGGATATCACATGACAATCAAAATCTTTTCACGTTTATTTGAAGTATCTCTGGAGCGAAGTCAGTGTATTATAGATAACTGCAACACACTGAACATGGGGTTACCCTTGAAGACCGCTCAGAAACTAAAACAGATTCTGAATGTACCATCATAAATAACTATTGGAATGCCTTTCTTTGACCAGGTGACTCCTTTAGTTTCTGCGTTGCACTGGTTACTAGTTCGCTTCTGATGCAAGTACTGAGTTGCTTTATGGATAACTTGAGTTATCCATAAGACTTTTCATTTTGTGGGATATGATTATCTGCAACACTGCTTCTCTCTGATTGATTCCTACCCATTTGGTAAGATCTAGCAGGGAGGCATGGTTTTTTTTTTTTTTTTAAGTATTCTTTATTTTTTCCCAACATAAAATATATCTTTCAAGAGCGAAGTCTCGATCCGGACATAGATAGGTACAATCACTTAAATATTAAAAAGTTCCATTCACAATTTTCCATTACATCTTTTAAAATTAAAAATCAGAACAAAAAAAATTTTTTTTAACATAAATTCTAGTATCTTGATCAGAACCATTCTATTATATCACCACCAATTTAATTTCCAAATAGATTTTATATATACATTTATAAATTCAATTGTATCTGGTTCTTTTCCAAGCTCCCTTCATTACGCCTTTTAACATCAATATCAAAACATAAAATTTTAAAAAATATTCTAACCTCTTGGTCTGATTATTTACCTTACAATTTTATCACCACACATCTTAGTTTCAAATTGACTACAGCTCTATTTTTTATTTCAATTTATAAATCAAAGTTCTATCCATATTTCTTAATCTCTAGACCCCTTCAGCAAATCTTTAAATCTTAAACTTTATCAATTTACCTTTAATTTAACATATTTCATATTACACAGATTTATCTCAAAATCCATATCCTCCTCCATTTCTCCTCCTATTGTTTGGCTGATTTCCAGCATGTTTTATTTTGGCTGATTTACAGCATAGTCACCTCCATACCTCCATCCATTGTTTGGCTGATTTCCAGCATAGTCTCTTCCAAATCTCCACCACTTGTGTAGCTGATAAACCAGCATGCTTTCCTCCATGCCTACTTCTATTATTTTAGCTGTTTTATTTTAACAAATTCACAGCATATTACATAAATTGCTTTTTCAACGCATTCACCCACAATTTTTAACTCAACATTATTTTAACAGATATCTTCTCACATATTTTCTCCTGGATTGTAAATTCCCTTTAAAGTCATCTCTCTTCATATTTATTTTAAAATTCAAAAATTCATTTAAACATTCAAAACATTTAAGAGCTCATATTCTCATTCAATCATTTATAATCTTATTTAATGACCAAATTAGTATATGTGTATTTATATAATCAAGTTTAAAAGTAATGGAAGTAAAAAGTAAAAAAGGAAACAGAGAGAGAGAGAAGAGAAAGAGGAAAAGTAAAGAGGAAAAAAAATAACAAAAGAGGGAAAAGAAAAGAAAGAAAACAAGGGAAAAAGGAAGAAGGAAAACACCTCATATTAGTATTCAGACTTCAGGTATGCATTAAACATTACATTTCCATTTTAATCAAACTATGTTATTTTTCTTATCTTGCAAGCCACTACTATATTCCATTTCTTCTTTCGTTTTTTCCAATCTGTCCAAAACTGTTCCTTTTCAATTTCAATATTATCAAAGTTAAAAGTTCTATAAAATTTAATTCTTTTGTGTCTTCTTTTCCATATATGGTATCGTCCTTTCTTTTGTTACCACGCCCTTTTCTTTTGTTGCTGCGCTTATTAGTTCAATTATAATTGTTCCATTTTATTTCTTCTTTCTTTCCATCAATAAAACATCCACTAGACAGATTGGATATCTCCAGAGTCAAACCTCCTTGATTATTGCCAAAGTAATCCAGTTTAAGTAGCAAGACATATAGTTTCTCTTCCAAGCCGCAAGCAATCCACAATTGCACTTTCACTTCATCACGGCATCTCCATTTTGTCTATTGTATAATTATCCGCTTGTCTTTTCTCTTTGTTTTAAAAAGTTCCTGTTTATCGCCTCTTTCCTCTTTCTCTCTTCAAAAATAGTCCATTCCCATTTAAAAAGAAGAAATTTTTAAAGTTTTGTAACTTTCCAAAAAAAACGATCATTCCAAATCGGTCAGTGATAGCAATAATTCATTAATGGGTCTTTTCCTCCTGTAAAGTATTTTACTAGATCTTCTTGCCCCGGTAGTCTATAGCCGCTAATTAAGGCTAGGGACACACTTGTAAATATCCGTGATTGTGGGGGCTTCCTCTGGCCCCGAGGAACTTGCCTGTTCCTCTCGGCCATCCAAGGGGTCCCTCTCTTTCCCCCTGTCCCTACAGGACAGGGTAGGTCCGCAGACCTGTCGGCGGCTCAACAGATGGGGTTTTCACGGGGCTCGTGAGAACCCCACCATTTCCCCAACTGGATTGCCGCAGTGCCAACCGGAAGTCGTCGGAGGCATGGTTTTGTGGTCCGATCACAAAAGAACCGCACCAGAGATGGGCCTTCTCTGAAGCCATTCCTACTGTTAGGATTAGCATTAGTCAAATGAGTCACTGAATGCCCAGATATAGGAAAACATATAAATGCCCCACAAAAAAAGCTGCCAAACTTTGAACTATTATGTCAGAAATGGACAATCCTGAATAGAATTTGCACCTCACACAACATCTGCACAGACTGTTTAAATGGGACATAGTATCATCCACCCAGTGTGACTGGGGTCCCTTGTCAAATTGTAGATCACATCGTGACTGGCTGTAAGGTGAGGGCATATACCAGTCCAGTATCTGATTTTTTTAATATAAACAATGCTGCGCTTCAATAGATGGCCTAGAGTCAGTGGTATTTCAAATAGATCATTTTAACATTTAAGTTTATTGTGTTTTACTAATCTAGATGAAATGTTGATCTATATTGCTGGTCCATCTATGATATGCCATATGCTAAATAAATAAGTGTGAAGATTAGTATCTCTTCTGAATTCCACACTGACTCTACAAGACATTAGAAAAGCCATAAAACCTGGATTCATAACCCACTTGGTAAGTATTATATGGCATTTCGTGTTCCTTAAATGGCATATTATATTTCTGAGTTCTGTTGTGGATGCTTTTCCAATAAAACATTTGCCTTCACTACTGGAATTTATGCAAACGCAGTGGGTGTCTGGAGATTGAAACAAGTATTATTTCTGTTCAGGAGGCATCCTTGTCCCTTTCCCAGATATTCTGCTCCAGTTCCATTCCTTTTGCTCTCTTTACTTTCATCCAGTCATCAATCTTTCTCAGAAGAAATTATTGTTGAGATGGAATCTCTCTTTAGTATTTTCCTCTTTAAAGTTACTTTCCTGACATTTATTCAATTTTTTTATTCTCATTTTTTTCTCCACCTCTTGACCTTACTTTCGTACACAGAGGGTGCTTTTTTATTTCTCTCTACAATTGAAAAACATGCTTGGGATTAGTAGTATATAGGAAAAGCATTTTTCCATAGAACAGGATAAGCAACTTTGTCCTTCAGATCACCAGGATGCCTCAGGGCATGGGACAACTCGTCCCAATTCCTTTCTATAACCTAATGTTTCAGAGACTAATAAATCAGCTTTAGACAACTTCAGCTAAGAATCAATTTTACCTTCCCAAGAATTCTTTAATATCTATGCTGTACTTTCTAAGCTATTTTGCTCAAGACACAAAAGATCTCTTTATTCTAGATATATTAGTTTATTCATCAGAGTAGAGGAATATTCACATCTCTGTGAGAACTACTGTATATCAAGAAAGGAATTTCTTTTTAACAGGAACTTAAAAGTAGAAACACAATTTAAACCATAATTTAATTATGTTTTATGGCAATGTTCTTCTTTAATCAGCTTCTGAAAAACTAAGGGAAAGGCTCTGTTCCCTCTTATAAAGTCTTATTCCTGTTAAGCATAAGAGCAATTACTACAGGGTTTCCTGAGTTTGTTTAATATGGTTGCTATTTTACAGATAAAGATATACACATATCATTTCACATTTTTTCAAGTATTACTCTATTTTGTCAAAATTCATTTTACATTAAAGGAAAAAAATCCCAAAGCTGTATTAATCTCATATATTAAACTGTCATGAACATGTATAGTTTTGCACACAACTATCATGCCCCTGTCGGAGTCTGACTCAGATGGAAGAGGAATAGCTGACAGAGAGTGAGAGAGTGGCTCCATTGGTTGTGGAGGAAACTGGAGAAGGGCAAAGTCAGGCTGGGCAGAGCAGGGGAGAGTTAGAACAAGGGAGAGGGGGTTCTGATGAAGACCAAAATTCACCCCCTCCTCATCCTACGGCACGCAGGGAAGAACAGAGAAGAGAGCAACGTGGGTTGTGTGGCTTATGAGGGAGGAAAGGGCCCCGATCCAGAGGTGGGTTTCAGCAGGTTCTGACCAGTTCTGGAGAACCGGTAGCGGAAATTTTGAGAACCGGTAGTAAAAATCCTGA